ATGCTCTGTGTTGAAGGATCAGTGGATCTGTGTTCGACTACTCCACCTAGGCTGCATTTCTGAGCTCAGATCCACTGAGAAACTTGCTGTTTCAGCAACATTTCATTTAAAAACTGTACTTTTGAGGTTAAACAAATGTTCATAATTAATTTAAATAAATTACAAGTTAAAAGGGGCATGGAAATTTCTCCTTTTGTATCAAAAAATATCAAACCGAATTATGAATTTTCTGTATCGTTGCACCTCTAATAAAAACATCTTACAAATCCATCTTGTATGCACAGTAATTTTTGACTTGACWAGCCATTAGCCTGGATGAAGACATTTGCTTTATTTCTCCATACTCTGTGCTCTCTGGCCGATGTTCTAGTTGATAAACTGTCAAAGATCATTTCAAAGATCACTAGACTTTCCCTTCAAGGAGGAGTCACGTGAAAACAGGAACAAAGAACATCCTCGGCTTTTATCTGCTTAAACACCAGATCAAGGATCATTTCTGGGGGCGTTTTGTGTTTTTTCAAAACCCGACAGAGCCTTCAGTCTGTGTCTATTATGTGGTAAAAACAAACCGTGAGCTGAGCAGGTAAGTTTGAAGCAGCCCCSCTTCACCCCTGCAGGTGCAGGTCTGAGCAGGTGACTTGATGTGAACTAACAGCCCAGCTGCTCCAACACGGGTTGAAACCTCGATGGAAGCTCCAGCTGCAGCGCCGCGATGTCCCGCGGGCGTGCGATGAGCTCCAGCTGCCCCCACCCCCCCTCCTCGGTGAACGTCAGCGACACAAACGTTCACAGAAAGCTTAAAAAAAAAAACTCACACATGCAGACACGCGAGGACACTCAGACATCCTCTTCACTCAAACAACCTCCAGAACGAGTTCCAGCAGCACTCAGCCTTCAGTTATTTACAACACAGTAAAGCATTAATTACGTTTGTTTTCTCAATGTTTCACGCTTTGTCGCCTGCTTCATTTCATTTACGGCTCCTTCATTCGTTTTGCTTCAAGACGGATTTGAACGCAGCAGAACAGCTGATAGCGCCAGCCTGGGTGGAGTTTACATCTTCTCCCCGTGCGTGTGTGGGTTTTCTCAAACAACTCTGACGTTTGGTTCACTGATGACTCTAAATCAGGAAACGGCAACTTAAATGAAGGAGGGGTCATTTTGATGTTGAAAGACGGCCACATTAYGCTGCACACTTATCCAAATGTAAACAAAATTGCCATTTTAAAGCAACACAGTGCAGTAACTTCACACACTTCATGCTCAAATGCATGTATAAGTTGTACTCTGTGTTGTAAGTATGAATACAAAACGTTTGACGCAGACTAAAAATAGTGAGGTGAAGTGCAACGACACAAGAGTGCAGACTTCTGTGTGGTTCTGGTAAAAAGTCGCTACTGTTTATGTGCTAGCGACTTCAGTGAACGTCTCATATTTAGCTTTGTGCAACACGATGTAGCGACAACTTATATTAAGACTTTCTAAACAAATTGAACATGTAGGTTTGCCTTGAAGTTCTGCCAAGAGCTAGTCTAACTCAAATAAATAAATAAACAAAAACACTAAAAAATGTGTTTTAGGCAGGCCAAACAAAAGTCACCTGCAGACCAGTTGTGGACCATGGGCCACCAGTTGACTATCCCTGCTCTAAATTGTTTCTAGGTGTGGGTGAGTGGTTGTTTGTCTTCATGTGTCCCCGAGATGGACATGTGACCTGTCCAGGKTGTCCTCCCTGCCCTCACAGTGACYGCTGTAYRTWTCTCCACGACGYGACCCAGAAARGAAAAGTGAAAGAAAATGAACGGCTTGAATGACACAAGTGTTTGAAACTCAGATTTATCAAGCCTCTCGGCTGTGTGAAAAAAAAAAGATGTGATAATGATATTCATGAAAAGTGTTAGAAGTAACATGTGGGACAGAGAAAACATTTAAAGCACAAAAAAAGGAAAGAAAACAGACACAAGAAAAAAAAAGGAACATAACTGGAGTTGGAATTTCCATGATTATTCAGCCATGATGTCGTCGTCCTCAGGCTCGTCGCTCAGCAGAAGCAGCGCAGCCCACACACACAAAAAACAGGCGAACCACCAGCCGAACACTGTGAACACTCACAGAAACCATAACAAACATGCTTTAGAGGACAGGAAATACAAACCACTCTGCATGTAAAACAGGGACAACATTATCCGGCCTGCTGCAGACTTTAACATGTAAACAACCCACAGATAAGCCCAGGGATGTAATGAAGCAGACYGGCTCTGTGCAGCTACAAACACACGCTGAACACAAGCAGGAAAACAACACTTACATTTAATTTTTTTTTTTACTTCTTGTGTTCAGCGTCGCCTCCTGCTGATGTAAGAAACCCTCAGCGTCCAAAACACGAGTCTGAGCCGTGAATGTGAGGCTGCACGTGGGGTCCGTGGTACTTTTCCAGGGCTTCACTGATTTTCCATGACCATTTTATAATTCACTAATTTCTGTCAACCAACAACATGACACAAACAACACTTATTTTTCCTGGTGCATTTTGAGACTTTTCTTTTGTGGTTTTAATTGCTGATTGATTTTGATTAAACCATTAGTTTTGTTGTCAGTTGAACACGAGATGTTTATCTTTGACAACTTATGTGAAGGTTTACAAAGAATTCACTGTTAGGATAATTTGTTTTATAAAGTACCTCTGCACGTTTCTTGCTCTGTAATTTTTGTACCATTTCAACAATTTATATATGAAAACATTCAGCTCCTTCAGGACGTTCCAGTTAGGACTTCTGGTATTTCAGCATTTTGATATTTAGCTATTTTTATCATGTTTTTCTATTTGGAAAGGAGAGCTGTCTGCAACTCCTTTAAAACCTTTCAAAATGTTCACAAGTCTTTCCTGTATCTTTGCCTTTTGTTCGGCCTTTTTTTTTTTTTTTTTTTTAAAACCTTTCAAAATGTTCACAAGTCTTTCCTGTATCTTTGCCTTTTGTTCAGCCTTTTTTTTTTTACTCCTTTGTACTAATTTCAGCTTCTATTTTGCTGATTTCAGCTTTTGCATCCTGCTTTTTAGCGATCATTCTGACCTTTTTCGCTAATTTTAGCTTTTGTGCTTCTTTCTCTCTTGAGGTTTTTATGCTTCTTTCTGCAAATTTCAGTTGTTTTAGCYACTTTTTTTTAGCCAATTTGAGCTTTTTCAGCTAAATTCACCTTTTTGTGACAATTTCAGCTTCTTACTGCATTAGCAAGAACGCTCTTTCAGATTCTTTGTGCTAATTTCAACTATTTTAGCTACATTTTAAAGCTATTTTAGGCTAATTTTAGCGGTTTTTTTCCAGCTAAATTCACCTTTTTGTGACAATTTCAGCTTCTTTCTGCTTAATTTAGCAAACATGCTCTTCCAAATATATTGCACTAATTTCAACTATTTTTAAGCTTTTAGGCTAATTTCAGCTGTTTTAGCTACTTAATAGGTAATTAGAGCCATTTTCAGCTAAATTCACCAATTTGTGATACTCGCTTGTTTCTGCTTAATTTAGGAAAAGTTCTTTACGATTCTTTGTGCTAATTTTAACTATTTCAGCTACTTCTAAAAGCTATTTAAGCTACTTTGAGCTTTTTTCAGCTAAATTCACCTTTTTGTGATAATTTCAGATTCTTTCCGCTTAATTTAGCAAACATGCTCTTCCAAATATATTGCACTAATTTCAACTATTTTTAAGCTTTTTAGGCTAATTTCAGCTGTTTTAGCTACTTAATAGCTAATTTGATTTATTTTGAGCTAAATTCACCGTTTTGTGATAATTTTAGCTTCTTATTGCATTAACAAGAACGCTCTTTCAGATTCTTTGTGCTAATTTCAACTATTTTAGCTACATTTTAAAGCCATTTTAGGCTAATTTTAGCTGTTTTTTATCAGCTAAATTCACCTTTTTGTGACAAGTTCAGCTTCTTTCTGCTTAATTTAGCAAACATGCTCTTCCAAATATATTGCACAAAATTCAACTATTTCGGCTATTTTTAAAGCTTTTTAAGCTAATTTAGGCTGTTTTAGCTACTTAATAGCTAATTTTATCTATTTTGAGCTAAATTCACCGTTTTGTGATAATTTTAGCTTCTTTCTGCTTAATTTAGCAAACGTTCTTTAGGCTTCTTTGTACTAATTTCAACTATTTCGGCTACTTTTTAAAGCTATTTTTAYGCTAATTTCAGCTTGTTTARCTATTCAGCCARARTCTATCAGCATTAATCGTTCACATTGCATTTTTGCAGGAGATGCAAATCCTCTCGTATGAAACTCGAGCTAAGTTTATTTSCACTTCAACATGTTTTTGTTTAGCATGCAGCCGTTTTTGTACCACACAGTTCAGGCACACGTCTCTAATCATCACGTCTTAGATTTTAAATAGTATTCTGGGTTGCTAAAAAAAAAACCAGGTAGAAATGTGGCCTGGTCTGTCACAAATACAGCAGCCTTCCTCTCATGTTGGATAACTCAATAAAATTTATTTCTTCCACATCACAATCACTCGTCCTTGGCTCTCAGACCGCCCCTGGCCTTCACTTCTTCCTCATATCTCTGATTGATCCGGGCCGGACAGTTAGTAGATTTCCATCATCTAATCTAATGCAAGCTCTTGGTGCTGCTTTTTTATTTATTTATTTTTTGTCCTGCTGCTCGGACAACTGTTAGCTCTCCATCCATTTCTTGTCCTAATCATATTCCAGGCAGCCAACGGCCTCCTTGGCTCGTCCTTCTGTGCCCAACAGGCAAGGTGCTGGAGCAGCGACCGGGCCGGTCCGAAGCACTCCTACAACAGAATGTTTAGGTACCATTTTTTTTTTTGGCACAAAGGAATTCTGATGCAGATCTCGAGCAGCAGGTCTAGCTGTCGGATCGATGTCGTTTCAGGGAGTCCTGTGCACCCTATGTGGCGAGACGTTTACGCAATTTCGGCTCTCAAAGGAGGAAATCATAACAAGTGAAGGAGCAGCTTCAATAAATCAATAACAAATTACAGGATGCTTAAAACCGGCAAGAGCCTTTATTTTCAACAAAACAACAAAAAAAACGCAGAAGATATTTACAGTTACACTGAAATTTGCTAAATTCCCATTCTTTCTGGACCCCTGCAGACGATCAGTAGTAGCCCTCCGGGTCAGCTTTGTCTCCTTGATTCTGAATCTGCTGCTGCTTCTTGTACAAATCGGCGATCTGCAGAGAATGAGGGGAGGAGACGTGCAGACAGAAAGAGAGAGGGAGAGAGTTTGCAGAAAAGAGAAAACAGGATGGAGGGAGGAGGAGAAAGATCATGAAGTCAGGTCAGTAACATGAAGAGGAAAAGCTAAAAATAACGGTTTGATTATTCACATCCCTGGCTTTGAAGTCGCTGACTTCCAGCAGCTGACTGGGCGARGGAGGTTGGCTTCATTTATCAGGGCTTTGGGGCGGCGGTGGTGGGGGGGCGGGACAATGAATCATGTTGGAGCAGCGGGGGGGCACAGTGAGGAGGAAAACAATGAAACATGACATTATTTCTCCTGCACAGGATCAAGGTAAAGCTTTGATTCCCGTCCTGAAACCGGCTGCGTCCGACACGTTCTGGCTCTTTATCAGGCTCTCTCACTGCCTCCGAGCTGCACGAGGTCAGGCTCCGTTCGGATCGCGGGCGCCGTCAGACGACACGTGGCGGCCGCGTTTACATGCAGCCGATGTTTCATCTTGATTCCCAAATGAAATTAGCACGTCTTCGCTTTAAATTCAAGTCAAGCTGGAATATGAAACGGTTCAGACCGGCCTTTGATTTACCAAGACAGACGGATTGTCAGTCAGTCTGCACATCAACAAGGACAACTTTGGGCTGAGTATATAAACTTTTAATCTATATGGATTTTTTTTGAGATAGAATCAGAAAATATTGAGATAGTCTGACAGTGAGTCAGATAACCTGTCTCACTGTGAAGCTCTACATGATTTGTGCTCCATCAGAGCGCCAAACCACCCTGCTGATGAACAGGACTCATGTTTCTACTTATTGACAACTTCATCTGGAAAAAAAACAAACAGCTTTTCTTTAAGGTCTTCTAACCAGTGCAGGATGTGAAATAAATTCATTAGAATCCTCTCGACACAACCTGTTAGAAATAAGAGTGCCGATCACAAATCACTAAAACTTCTGACCTGCTGACTCCGATTGTWAAAATAACTGAAACTGTCGGGTGTTTAAATACCCTTGAAACAATACAGACTTGTTTTATCCAGACATGAGGTAGAAGTTGATCTTTTCCACGACTTTAATCCAAGTTTCGTCTGACCTTTGGTCTCCCAAAAGTAAGGAAATCTGCTGATAMATCGGATGGATGGGYACCTTTSACATTTGAATTGATTCTATCCRRTACCTGGGAATCAGTATCGGTACTCAACATTACCAGTTTTCAGTACTTTGTGTGTTGTTTTTTAAATAAAAAACTAGGGATGCACGATATATCGGCATTAACATCGGGATCGGCYGATATTGCTCATTTTTTAAGAATATCGGTATTGGACCAGTAGTTCAAACTGGGCCGATATTAACTAGGGCTGTGTATTGGCAAGAATTTGGCGATACGATAAATATCATAACAGAGGGGTCACGATACGATATATCCCGATATATTGCGATACTGTAAGCAAGGCAGTATATTGTGATATATTATGATTTTTTTTGTCCATTTTTTTGTTCTATTAAATAAAAACCTCTTACTGAAAAAAAAAAAGAAAAGCTAATGTTTACTTACAATGCTTACATTGTCTCCTACAATGCTAATGCTACCCTTACTCTCTGACACTCAAGAGGTAGAGGAGCCAAATGACTGGCTCACTGCTGCCAACTAGTGGTCAGAGGCTGAACTACAAAGATGAACGGTTGGCAGGAAAGTTGACATTTTAAACCTTAATTAAAAATCGATACAGGGTTTTAGAATATCGATACAGTATCTGGAAATGAAATATCGCGATATTTCAGTGTATCGATATTTTCTTACACCCCTAATATTAACGTCCGATATTGATTTCCCACTTTTTAGCTTTGTGTTTTGAGAGGGGAGATGGTTGGTTGAGTGGTATCTGTTTGATTATGATGGTGATACTGATGCTGTGCAGCCAGGAATAACTGAAGTAGAGCCATGTCAGAGGTCTGGTTCGTTATTTATGGTATAAAAAAAGACCCAAGTGTGTTTGTGTGTAAATGTATATAAATAATTGGTGTGTTTGTGTAATATCGGTAAATATTGGTTATTGGTCATAACAGCAATAATTATATCGGTTATCAATATCGGCTGAAATTTTCATGTCGGTACATCCTATAATAAACTTTTTAAAATATATTTCTCAATATATAAAATTTAACAAATATCACGACAACATCCAACTCTTTATATTGTAACATCAGTTGTGTAACTTATTTCTTTAAAGTGAAAACACTTGAAAACAACACTGTTTTGTCTTATTGCACAAATTAAAATCCAGCTCCAAGTTTTTCTATTGACGTCATTTCCCCACTAGAAAAATTGCGTGATGAAGGTCCATGGAAGGCGAATAAGTTTAAATCAAATAAGCAAAAGAGGATGGAGTTAAAATAAATAAAAAGTATTCAAACTACAAAACGTGTCCAACACTTCAAATTGGCTGCTTGTGCTCTTTCAGGTCAGACGAGTTTGGACTGTCGGGAAGCACCTCTGTTGTTTTCCTCTGTCGGTCTCTGTTTAATGGTGGATGAAATAAAGAAAGTGGCGATACTTTATTTACTTTGAGCAAGTGAACGTCGTGCTCACCAAATAATTCAGAGGCGGTCTGTTTGGTGAGTTTAGGAGCTGCGAGGCTTTCAAGCTACGTTCAGACTGAACTCTGTTTACTGAACCAGCGGCTGCTAACGTCATTACGCTCTTGGCTGCGTTCAGGACAAGCATGGGAAATCCCCCAATCTTTCACCAATACGGTCACAATGAAGTGTTTTTAGGTACTGAAACATGGTACCGTTTGATTTTACATGAATAGGTAYTCGGTAGTACAGACAGAATTCGGTCGGTACTTAAAAAAGTATTGAATTCGGTACCCATCCCTAGCCGCACATCTAGGTTTCTGTATAGCAGCAAACTAGGTAGTATCTCATTGGACCGCTGTTGTTAGTGACTCGTTTACAAGTACTCCCTCAGCAGGACGGTAGTCATGACCCTGCGACTTTCGGGTCCTCTGCATGCTCCTTCCAAAACTGTCGAAATCGTCTCTCATTATCGTAGATGTGTGACGAACATTTCACCCCTTCTTGACACAAYGAGCCAGGAGAACTTGTGTGATTGGTCAGAAGTTAGTAGGCGTGCTTGTTTATGGTGAAAGCGCTCGGATGCTACATTTGCTGCAATTACTCACTTCCAGAAGGCGACTGTTGTACCCGGAGGCAGACATTTATAAAGATAAACGGCCCAAAACTCATGGATGGAGGTGAAACAGACGTCGTGTAYGGAGGAATCTGAAACAAAAGCTGTGGTGCTTTAACAGATTTGTGGAAAAATAACGGCAGATGTTGAAGTTTGTTTGTTTTCCTCCCAGCAGCAGAAGAAACCCTGTGCTGTGACGAATCCTGGGAGGAGCTTCCCAGGAGATTGGTGCGATGTGTTTCAGAGGTTATGAAAGGTGTGTGAAAACGGAACGTCGAACCACCGTGTCTCGACTGTTCGGCTTCGGACTGAGTATACAGAGTCCTTAAATACTCAACTAAAAAGGTTTTCCTGCTGATTTCAGTGTTGACGAGACGATCTCTACCCTGCATGTCTGTCTGCCAGGGCTTTCTTAGATCTATGTTTATAGGTATCTTTCCATCCATCCATCATCCTTCTCTATATCTATACATCTATGTCTATGGTTTCCATTTGAATGTAAAAGTGACAGTGCATCGAGTCTTTCAGCAGATATAGGGTAATGTGTGAAAAGTATCTTACGGCAAAGACAGAAGTGTTTCACTGTACAAAATGATTCACTCCTCGAAGCCTGACACCCACCCCCCCAAACACACACAATAAACCCCCTGACATACTGCTTTACCTCAGTGTTAAATAGTTTCCTTCAATGTGCTGCAGGAGCTGCTACACAAACTACTGGCAGAATAAATGAAAAATAAAAAAGAGACATTGTCCTTGCAGTGTTGTTCATCCTTGAAATTTTACAGGACAGCTTTTGTGAAGTGACCATGATGATGACGATGTGTCACTCTGAGCGATCCAAACAAACATGATTGAATTTTTACCGGGTTATGATCTTTTTTTTAGATTACAGAAGGCTGACCTGTTTCACCTTGTGCTTCAACACTTTCYGCAGTTATTGTATTTGGTGTTTAACACGTGTATTTGACACTGTGCACTTGTGTGCACGGCTGGTTTCACATTGTTTTGAGGAAATGTTTTTTATTTATTTTTTACCTGAGCTCCGGATGTAGCGTCCTCTGGCTTCTTGTCATCTCTGATCCGAAGGAATCGAGGGAACCGGAGAGAAATGCCCTTCTCTGGATCCACCTGAAGACACAGTAAAGTAATTAAGACTCCATTAGTTCAATTCATTTCAGCTGCTAAAACTAAGCTTTTGTCCTGCTTCAATTCATGCCTCTTCCTAAGTCTTTTATCCAATTAAATAAAACATTGCTAATTTTCTTCTTTAAACTTCCCAAGGCTGTTTTAAAATGAGGAAATGTTTGATGTGAACGACTATTCATGATTTACATGAATGACAAATACTATATATAAGGTTCTGTTAAGTTTTTAAGGCATCTAATTATTACAGAAAATGAAACTAATAATGCTGTAAAACTATCTATTTTAGGGTAATATTAAGGCCAGCAGAAAATTTTATAAACATGTTCAATTTAGATAATCCTAAAAGGCATAGTGAAGCAAATTTGCATAAAAACCCCTAAAACCTTAACTGCTCATATTCTGATTAACAGCCTAATTTAACCACTAAACTCACTTTGATCACTCTTATTGATAAACTGTAATAAAAATTAAGTCATCATTAATAAAATGACAGTAAAACTACACTATGTTGGACTCGACTTGTAGCCAACTGACCCAGTTAGACAAATAAAAATTAAATCAAGGGCATTTTCAATTACCACCGTCTGCATTTTATGTAAAATTAGCTGAATTTCCTATAAAATTACAGCCCTAATTTAAGCTTTTTCCCTTTCYATTTTAAAATAGTCTTCATCGGTCACATCAGAGCATTAATCAATTGGCGCAGAAAAAGGAACATAACACTATGTCCTTATTTGGTCAGTGTACTTCCTGTAACAAAGATGCCTTTCATGACTAGGGCTGTGTATTGGCAAGGATTTGGCGATACGATACATATCACAACAGAGGGGCCACGATACGATATATTGCGATACTGTAAGCAAGGCAATATATTGTGATTTTTTTGTCCAAAAATTCTATTAAATAAAAACCTGTTACTGAAATTAAAAAAAAGAAAAGCTAATGTTTACTTACAATGCTAATGCTACCCTTACTCTCTGGCGCTCAAGAGGTAGAGGAGTCAAATGTCTGGCTCACTGCTGCCAACTAGTGGTCAGAGGCTGAACTACAACATAAAAATGAACGGCTGGCAAGAAGGTTGACATTTTAAACCTTAATTAAAAATCGATACAGGGCTTTAGAATATCGATACAGTATCGGGAAATGAAATATCGCGATATTTCAGTGTATCGATATTTTCTTAACACCCCTATTCATGACACAGGAGCGTTTTTCAGTACAACACCAGCAGACCCCAAAAGGAAGTTATCCTAAATATTTGCTCTTGTTTGTAAATGTTAAGCTTTTTTTCGTACCTTTTAGAGCCTTAATATTTAATTAGTTACACAAGAAATGTAACTTCAAGAGCAAAACAAGAAAAAATACTTTCTGCCTGGAACTGTATTTATAGTCTTCAATAAACTGCAACACCAGTTGGATTGTGTTGCTGAGCTACATTGGGCCCTCGAGCTAAACCACTAAATTACAGGCAATTACTTTCTTATGATTTCTTCCTAAAAATCAAGTAAATTGGGAYGTATATGACTATTAAACTTTTACATTTATGAGCCAATAAACAAACAAATTAGAGTCATAAATCATATATTGGCTGCTCTGATTTCTAAAGCCTGAAAAACTCTGATCTCTGACGGTAAAACTATTATTTAAAAGCACATATTCAGAATGAAACACGTCGAAATGAAATACAACCATTTTTCTATTTAAATAAGTTAAAATGTGTAAAAATAAAGAAATAAATAAAACAAATCTGAYGATAAATACTCTTCGCTGCGTTTCATAATAAATGGCGACTTTAAGTTTCAAACTTCTAAAACGAATTAGGTGTTTTATTTGCTGTAATAATACTAACAGGAACCAAAAGTCAAAAAGCTTCCTGTAAAGCTGAAATGACCGACATTAAAACTTAAACAAAGCTCCCGACATGCATCATAAGGTAACTGAAATATGCAAATATTTTCAGACATAATTCATTCATGTCTGTGCATGTTTAATAGCAGTTGAATACAGATAATACTTTAACTTTTTTTGTTTTAAACTGCTGAGCACTGTGGGACTCAGCTGAACTCCGGCTAATTAACAAGTATCTGTTCTATTAAATCCAGCATCTTTTACAACATTATTAAGACGCTTTAATTATGAGTTCTAATTCGAGCCAACAGACCATAGCGGGCAGAACTTATCAGTGGAAGCACATGGAGGAGGAGGAGGGAGTGGGGGGATTAAGAGGCTGAACTGACCATTCCCATGGCGGCCTTGTAGACGGGCGACAGCGAGAGGTCGGCACACTTCACCTCCCAGACCTGCACGGCGTCCAGCCACACGTCGGGCTCTGCCGATTGGTCCACGCGGTAGTAGGCTCGAGGTTTGGGCAGGATGTGCTCCTGCAGAACATCAAAGCAAGAATAAGTCAACTTAAAAAATAAGTTTTAAAATAAATAAGAGAAACAAAGATGTGTGAAAATAGGACAGAAGCGTTCTGGACGTCTCACAATCAAATCCCAGGGGAGCAAAACACAGCTCCATCACTTACAAATTAAAAATATCACCTCATTTCTTTTTTTGTGGGTCAGTATTAAAGAGCTGATTTTTAAARCACTTTATCATGAGACGTTATGTTGGTGTGTGAAAGATGTAATCCATCAACAGCCCAAAACACAAAGTTTTATCAAGAGTTCACCTTTACAGGTAAATAATAAAACAAATGAAAGGCCTAAGTGTCCTTAAACAAATGCACACTGCGCAAAAACTTTAAGGCAGAGTTTTAAACAAATATTTTATGATTGGAAATAAATGAGTTCAACTAATTTTGGTCAAACTTCCCAAGTATTAAATATTGCAGGTTAGTTAGGCCGGCTCGTGGCATGGGCAATGTAGGCAAACACTAAGGGCACCTACCATGTAGGGGTCGCCACAAATGGGGGACAAAAAAAAGCATATTTTATAGCTTTTTATCAGAGTATTTAGTCTGTAGAAYAATCACCGGTTACTCAAATKTAGGCTTCAGTCACTAAYTCTCTCACCTCTCTATCTAACCATGCTCAATTTGTTCATAAAATGCCCTAAAGGTGATAAAATCGCTCTATATTGAAGCTTTACTAATCAAATATACGTTTCACAAAACACACACTTGGTTTGAAATATTCTACAATCAGTGTAGAATAATCTAGTCTAGGTTTGAATTTTCTACGTGTTTTAGTTTTTAAACTACAGCAGATTAAAGCAGTAGGGAAAACAAAGGTGGAATCGCCATTTAGACATTCGTGAAA